TGGCCCTTGTGGTCTCTTCCAACTCTATGATTCTATGATTCTACAGCTGGAGTAGACAACAGTTAAGATGGTAGGAAGCTGCATTAGCCCCTCAGGAGATCTTGGAGGGCTATACTGCCTGCAAAACAACAACAAAAAACTAACAGATTTCCCCCAAAACATTCTCTATGGGTATGGGGCATTTTCTCTATGTTTTTCTGCTCCCAGAGCCATTTTAGATACACTCTGAGGTGTGGGGGACATTTTTGCCACAGTGTGGCCCTCCCCAGGCAGTTTTAGGCCCAGAAGAAGGGTTTTTCTAGAACAGGAAGTGACCTCAAGCTCACTTCCTGTTGTTTTACTGCCCGGGGAGGGCCAGACTATGGCAAAAATGTCCCCACACCTCAGAGCCCACATGTAGCCCAAGAGCTGTACTTTGCCCTGCTTTTCTGCCTTACCACTTGCTGTGGTCTTTCCCATTTCTGCTTTGACTCTGGCCAGAACATTCCGCTCAGCCCAACAACAAACATAATGCTTGCTTTAGCCTTAAAAACTGAAATGACAGAAACTTCTCTTTGCTCTTTCTGTTGGTTCCTTTGGTAATATCAGAAAGTCTTCATTTGCTCCTGCATGGCATACAGCCTCCAGTTTGACCAAGCCAACGCAAATGAAATTTTCTAATTCTGGTTCTTTCCTAGGGGAAACTGGACATACATTTCAAATACAGTAAATAAATACTCCCAGAGCGCCAGTTTTTCTGTACTTCCAGGTTTTTCTCCCTTTCTTTTTAAAGCTCTGAAGGCCTCTGTGCTGTATCCTAAACTGGAATGCAGATTAGGAACTTTTCAAGTTGAAGTCAGCAGACGAAGAAGATTTAGTATAATATTTTTTGGAGCAATCAATGGTGAGTCAGATTTCTCTTCAACACGTTTCCTAAGAAATCTGTTCAGACTCAGCTGGGTACTCTTTGTAGACCTGGCCTGTCTCTTAAAATACAAAATGAAAAGGAGCAAATTTGAAAAGGAAATTCAGTATAAACAGTTCTCTGCATTGTTCCAACAGTCATTAATGATGTTTGGTCTGGTATGTTACACCTCAGGTGTGAATAAGCAAGTAACCCCAGTAAACAGAAAATATCAGTGCAGCTACACAGACAAACACACTTGTTCCCATGGATAATAATAATAATAATAATAATAATAATAATAATAATTTTTATTTCTAACCGCCGGGGTGGCGTACAACAGATTAAAACAATGCAAGAATATGCAAGGATGAGGTGAAGGCTAGACTGCTGGGTTGCCTTGGACACATTGAACTGTTGCTGTGTTGGTTCCAAAAAATGGAGCACATTGGCATGGTCCCTTTTACTGCTTCAGCTTCAGTTAGCTCACCTTAAAGCACAAAGTCTATCATTTCTTTACTAAGTTTAATTTCTAAAATTTATCAGTTACCCACCCAAACAACTTGTTATTCTATGCCGCTTATAACCCCACCCTCCCACCCCCAATTAAAATCTGCAAATAAAACAACATTCACTCACAGGATTTGGAACCACAGGAGTAGAAAAGGGCAGAAGCAGCCTCCTCCCAATATAAGTGGAATTTAATTTTATGGTCAATGTGTGTCACTATGTGAGGGAACACTGTGCTGGCACAGGATATTTGATAGCTAGAAACTAACTAAATAATGCTGTATTGCTGCTTTAGGAATCTGAAGCAATATTTGGTATTAAACAGCATGCTCTGATTAAGTTTCATAGCTTGCATAGTCTGCTCTAAAAGTTCCTGAGAGATCACATGAACGGGAAAAGTTAGAACCATCAATATTCAAAATGGGGTGGTTGGTGGGACAGAATTAAATAAATGGGGGTATTAATCTCAGGAGGGTGCCAAACCTCTTGTTTCTACCTGAGACTAAGTAGACACTATTAATGTTGTTGGAATAGAAGGACAAATTGGGGTTTGCTGGGATACTGGAATTTAATTCAGGTGAGAATGAGAGAAGACAGAACTTGTGCTCCTCACTTATAGTTTTTAGTGTTGGATTTTTTACAGGGATGTTTTATCTGTGGATTCCTGCATTAGCAGGAGGTTAGTAACTCTTGGGTTCCTTTCCAACTCTACAATTCTATGAGTATGTGATTTTTTTAAAACAAGTAGAAAGGTGGAATAAAAATGTAAGAAATTAAAATAAAATAAAGATTTGACTCCATCAAATATACACTCTATCGTTGATTTGATTCCCTCTTTGTCAAGACTCATTTTACATTCAGTGGGCCTTAAGTATTCACTATTGGCAGTATTGAGTCCAATGATTTGTTCTTATATGGTATAAGTTGTCATTCTTTTATTATTATATTTTATCCATGTTTGATTCTCTTAGAGAACTGCACAAAACAGAAATGCTTGCCTGCACATAACCCCTTACAGAGATACCAGTTCTCTCCTCTGCATATTTAATCCCAATTAATATAAGAACAGTCCTCGGAACAAGAGTAGCTCAATTGTCATGCAACAAAGTAAAGTTGAATTAATAGTTAAAATACTTAATTATATAGTGTGTACAATACTTGAGATTCCTCACAAAACTCCATCAGGAAACACAATCTAGAATTACAGTTTTTAGCCACTTTGAATCCCATTTGGGGAGAAAGGTGGAATATAAATCCAATAAATAAATAAAACTCAAAAGACTTTTAGATCAAATATTGTTCTATATTTATTCATCAACCATGCATGATAAAACTCACTTGACTATCTTGAGCCCCTCCTACAATTTACTATCATCTTTCTAAAGAAAACTATTCATTTCCTTTTTATTCATTTACAATATAACTCCACTGCTTTCTTTGGAATTTCCCAAATATAACTCTGAACCTATAAAACAGATCAAGTCCTCTCATGCCCAGCAACTTGCTTCATGTTTTCTATATTAGCATGACTCAGTTAAGAATTGTGCAATACTCTCTTTGCAGGGCATATGTAGCAAAAGTAACAAATTGTGTCAATATCAAAAGTACTAAAAGATGGCTAGTTACACTGATATAAACCAATACACATGGGGCCAGGGATAAAAAAAATGCACAGGTTTGTGAAGATAAGGTAAATTTACAATATACATTGAAGCAGTATCTTGAGATGTTACAGAATAGAACATGAATATCTTGTACTTTAGCTACCGTAGGTCTTAAGAATTATATTGTACATTTTGGATCCAGAGTTGTGCTTGTGTGAACAAACTAGATCCTTCCATTCAAAGAAGGGTATATGATTCCATGTGGACTCCTGAAGAGAGAAAGAAGAGGAGCCAGTTTTCACCAGCTCTCCTTCTTCCGCCTCTCCTTATCATTGCATCTCATGTTATGGTCTGGACTGATGGTCCTTTAACCCAGTGCTTCCTAAGGTTTCTGATGTGAGAGTGCCAGGGACTAGTGCCACATTTGTGCCCACTGTATAGTTCTGTCTGTCTGTCTGTCTGCTTTCTTTCTTTCTTTCTTTCTTTCTTTCTTTCTTTCTTTCTTTCTTTCTTTCTTTCTCATAAGCTCACCAGGGCCCAGCAGCTGACTGCTCATGGACTGGCATTAGTCCCTGGACCTGCACTCTGATTAGCACTGCTTTAACCTCCAGGATAGAATTCCAGGGTCATAATGGACAGTATTTGTTGTATTCATGATGGGAAACTATGAGAATGTGTCCCCTCTGGAAAAGGTAGCATCACTGAAAATAAAGGCAGAAAAGAGGATAGACAAGAAGAAGATGGAGCAAGAGGCCTTATCAGGAGAGTGTAAAAAAATAGAGCAGAAAAATGAGGCCCTGAGAGAGAGAGCAGATTTGTTGAGCAAATTACTCCAGTATTTAAAAGAAGAGAGTCCGTAAAGCCAAGAGTAAAAAGAGTTAAAGTTCCAGAATAGGGTAGTCAAGAGTAGATGTTTCATACAT